TTTGAAGATGATCCAATTGACAGAGAGTGACTGAATATATAGAAGAAATAACTGACAGTGTTAATTTGCTGACAAGGTAGGAAAATAGGACCCAAACCACAGGAAGGGGGTCTGTCCTTTAATGTATTGACAGGGCAAGTTCTGTAGAAGGGTGAGTGGATTCCAGGCTGAGGCTTCCACTTGCTCTCGGAAATAAGATACACAGTACCTACCTGGATGGGAAGCATAACCAAGGGTAGAGGATTACTACCTTGTATGCTCACATATCTTCTGTCCTCCTCAAATGACTTGTTTAATCTAAGTGGTCCCCTGAAATGTGCTTATTTCAGTTGTTTCTGATATCATAAATACATAATTAAATATTACAATGAAATATGAGTGCAAAAAAGGACTGCTGTTTCTATGAGAACTCAGTTGAAGATTTTGGGAAAATTTTATAAAGGCAAGATGCTAAAAATTGCTGCACATTTAGGAATGAGTGAGGCAACTGTGAAAGATGGAAAAATACAGAGAAAATCTTTGCTCTGCAAGATTTTATTCTTGTTCCAATTTTAAGAGAAAACAGGAAATCACAGAATTATGTGTGACTTTTACAAAGAAAGTAAGATTGAACTCTAAAGAATCTATACTCAGTTTTTTAAAAAAAAAAAAAAGCCTCGGCCTTCCTTACCTTAGTATAGGATGAATATATATGTTTTCATGACTCCCCTTTTCAACTGACCTTTTCAATGGACTGAACAACTCCTAGACTAAGTGGTCATTAAGGAGGCTTCTTTGGTTACAAAGGTGAATAAGAAGTAAGGAAAGAAGAGAAGGAGATTAAGTTATGGACTGCCTACTATATAGTAAGGAATTTGCTATTTGACAGGTATATCAAAAAATTTACTTCTTACAGCACCCTACACATCATTCCCATTTAGCAAACCAAGAAACAGTGAGGTTAAATGAATTGCCAACCACCAAGTTAGAGAAATTGGGTAGGAATTCAGTTTTCCGGACCTTTATCCTCAGATCTAGATTGGCCCTTTCCACAAGTGTTACATGCACCTGGATTTATTCTCAAATATGTCCCACCCTCATGTCCATCAGCCACCCATCAATGATTTATCCTTGTCCTTTACATCCTATATCTAATCAATCACCAAACCCTGTCAAATTGACTTCCATCACTATCTATTCAATTTGCCCTCACAGCCACCAGCCTTGCAGAGATTCACATGTTTGGCATAGATTACTACAAGTTTCCTGTTGCCACATTTCTTAAAGTCAGACTGAGCAACATCATCCTTCAATACACGAGGTCTGTCCAGAAGGTATCCAGCTATGTAATATGAAAAATAGAGACATTTATGGAAGAAGATACAAGAAACATTGTTCATAGGACAATGATGCCTCAGTCCCCTTCAAAGTAGGTGTCTTGGGACCTCATGCTGTTCTCCCAATCGCCATCAGCTGCCCTGTTGTATTTTCCCTGAATCTCATCAACAGTCTGAAATTGCTTCCTTTTATTGATTTTAGTTTTGGGAAAAGCCAGAAGTCGCAGGGCGCTGAATCTGGGCTGAAGTGGGGCTGAGTCACCTGGGTGACTTGATATTTTACCAAAAACCCTGCACAAGACGTGATGTATGAGCTGGCACGTTGTCATGATAAAGCTGCCAATTACCAGTTGCCCATAGCTGTATCCTTCTTAATCACTCAAATAGTTTCCATGGAGGAATGTTCAAATTTAATGCAGATTTGTTGCTCTACTCACTCAGTCATTTTAAATGCAAAGGCCACTCAGTATACATGCTCACTCAACAGCATCTACCACCCCCACTGACTAGCACAGTAAAGTCGTCATTGTTCACGCATGTGCATTCCAGTCCACTCTCCTTGGCTGCCAGGTTACATCCATGTCCTGCAAACCATTCTCATTATTTTAACAATGGCTGGACTTTCTCTGGGCAGATTTTGTTTATCAGTTGAACACTTGGCTCTTCAAGCTCATTTTTCATTTTGCTTCTAGCACCTTACTGCCTTCTATGTATGTCCCTGGTTTTCTTTTGAGTGCTTCTCAATGTCCTTAATGGCCTGTTTTCTTTTAACAGCCTCTTAAAATCGATGCCCCTTAGGGCCATTCCCTGGGTCTCCTATTCTAGCCTCTCCCAGAAAATCCTATTTTTTTTGCCAACAGCTTCAATTGCATTCACATCCAGATGCTCAACAAATCTATTTTCAACCATGCCCCTCATGGCATGGCCAAAACTGGACTCTCATCTTCAATCTCCCTGTAACCAGCCTCAAACCTACTTCTACATTCATTCTTCAGTGTTATCAATCTCAAACTTAAATGTTAAAATCATCCTTCACCAACAGTTCTTCTTCACTTGCCTTCACAATCCAATCTCAAGTCTTGTGATTTTTCATGTCTTCAAATTTCCCATGGTTGTCACTCATTTCCAGCCTGCCACTAGCTCTTTTCTTGCTTGGGCTACAGCGAGATAGACCTTGTATCCATTGAGCCTACAAGCCAGTCCTCTTTGTTGCAGTTAGCACGAGTTTGCTAAGCCATCTGCAACTAGTCAGATGCAAGGGTGGCCACTCAATAAGTCAATCAATGCCCTCATTCAATTTAAAGTACTTCAATGCTCTCCATCACAAATGGCATGTACTTCAAAACCTTTGCCATTGCATGTCTTTTGTAACCTGAATCTTCTCTGCTTCTACAGCCTCAAATCATTGTTCCTCATAACCACTCTTCCAGCAATAACCAATTATCCACAGTTCTCCAGACGAGTCACCGTCCATGACTCTAACTTTGAACATGCTCTTTCTTCTGTTTGGAATCCTCTTCTCATCCTCTGCCAGGAAGACTCCTACTTCTCAAGATTTTTCTCTGGAAGCTTTTGCTGTTCTTCCCTGCTCTCTCCTCCCCCAACAAAGTTCCCCCTAAATGTCATCATTTTTATAATTGAAGTACCTATTTTTACATAACAATCATACACTGGCCTATAGAGCTGTCGCGGTAGGGGGTTGGTTAGGCAGGTTTGAGAGACAACACTCTCAGGGCCCCCCAAAAACACTTCTCTTTCATTTTCAGGAAACTTTCCTCCTTTAAGGGTCACACTTGACAGCCCAGGCCTTGAGGTCAGTCTTCTGGAAAAGCCCCTGACCATGTCCCCAGGTCATTGTCATTTTCCCCATCCCAACTCCAGCTATCTTATATTAGTGGCCATGCTGACAGCCTACACAATACCCTAAAATGAGTCACAGTTTGGATTCCCCTACTCTGTGGCTGTGGAGTTGTTACCAAATGTGGACCCGTTGCAGGGGTGGTAGGGGGGGAGGTTGGTGCTCAGATTCTATTACCAAAGCAATGCCCCACCCTTTCCCCAGGGTCCCTCTGTCCTAGATGCTTTGCCCACCGCCCTTAAAAATTAAGGCCCCCAATGGTGAAAAGGAAAGGAACTATATATTCAAGTTATGCAGGTTTGAATAATGGCTAAATGTCACCGTTAAATCTCAAAATCTCTTTAAAACACCCACCAACACACAGTCCTGCCTTTACCACCTTTGCCTAGTCAGGCCTGTCAGGGGTACCGTCCTGCAGAAGGAAAAAGAAGTCCAGAGCTCAGCTAGGCAGGCCTCTCGCTGTTCCCAGCACCATCCGCTGTGTCATGACAATCTTGTTATCAAATTGAGAACCTGTGGCACCTTCTCGAGGCCCACTAGCAAAAGTCTTTTCTCCCCTTTCCTTCCTGCAAGGTCTTTGCATTGTTCCCTTAAGGTGTGGAGCAAACCATCTCCAAGCTCTCATTCTCACATGTGCCATAACCAGGAGGAGCTGCTCTGCATGGCTGCTACATCTTGCGTTCTTGCTTCCTAAGCCGCATGGTCAAGGGAGCCCCGACTCTGCTCCCAAAACCACGTGGTCAAAAGCCTCTAGCATGACCGGCGTGCCTCGGTCCAAGACCCAGCATGAATCCTCCCCTGCAACCCCAACTCTGACTCCTTCAGCAGCTGCTGCAACCCTGGGCGCTGCCTTGCCCAGTTACAACCTGGGTTAAAGTTCTGTGAACCTTCCTGGTTAGCCTTGTTGATACGCAAAATAACCATCTTTGCAAATGAGGTATGAAGCTATCCTCCTGTTACAGACAGCAAATGACTCAATGGCAGCCTGCCCTGTGGCGGTGGCGGGGCTGTGAGAATTTCCTATATTTTTCTTGGACACACCAAGTTCTGGACCCCATTACAAATCCCCTTTGGGGGTGCCTACCTGCACCGTTACAGGGTCACTGCTCAGCACTGTTTCACCTCTAAAACCCTAGTCTCCACTCCAAACTTCCTTCTGTCCATTATACACAAATGTTAACTCATTTTTACCTTTAACCTCTACCCTTTCCCATCCAGCCAGTTCACTGCCTTAATGATCTGACTTCTCTTACAATCTAGCCCAAATCCCAGAGTTAATCTCCAATGACCTTGCCCTAATTTAGACACTCCTACCTTACAAAGACTGATGCTGGCACAATCCACTTTTTCCCATCCTACATTCTTAGCAGCCAAGCACTGCTGGAGAAAAAGCAAAAGCTGGCCCCCAGCCACCGCAACTAATGGTCTCCTCTCTCAAACATGTTTTCAAAGGCATTCCTTAATCTTTTTTCTTGGCTTTGGTCTCTTTTGTCACTCTGTCTTCCTGGTGGATAATACTAACAAAAATAGAGGACATGGTCTATTGTATAGAATATCAAAATAATACCAGATAAAGTATGAGAAGAAACAAAAAGGCTACACACGGTAAATGTAATTTAGCTCTAATACTACATGTCCTTCAGGTTCTAAGCCAATTACTTTCATGGCACGCAGAATACTGTTGCTGTCTTCTCTTTATTCCTATAGATTTTGAGTTTGAAAATGAGGTGAAAGATGGACCCTTGGGAAAAATGGCTGCTTTCAAATCCCTTCATACTTTACCAATGAAACATACACGTTTGTTTATTTTAATTTATTCTGTTCGGTTTAAAGTAAAAGTTAAAACATCATATAAACAAACCACAGAACATTTAGATATAGTATTGACCAGTTTGAAAACAAAAACAATGATTACTTACACACATTCCTCATCTCTACTTTTACATCTTACTATACAAAGATACTATTAACATACACAATTTTAATTCCTTATAAACCTATTTGTCAAGCAGCAAGATGACAATGCATCATAGCACAGCACAGAATGTTTCCTTTAGAAACCACAGCAGCAGTATTTGGTGAGTGGTTATGCATAGAACTAACTTGGAGGGTAATGTTAAACATTGGTCATACAATAGGCAGTATACATTAACAAATGGAAGATGTAACTTGCATTAAGATAAAATGTTACTCTTTATGCTTTAAGTTAAAAGCTAAAAAATACTTCAGATGCAGATAATACAAGGTGTTTTAATTCTAGACACCACAACAAAATACTATTCCATTAGCTGCTTGAGTCTGTAACCTTTGAGTACTTAACTGTTCATGGCTTTTTAAAGTCAACTTCAAATATAAAAGTATCAGTTAAAATCTAAAGTTACATTGGTTACCCATTACATTAAAACATAACTTTTCAGAAAAACTGACTTCAAAAAAATACTGCATCGTTGACTTAAAATAATTTCAAAAAATGTTGCCCTAAAAATAAAAAAGCACTACTTTCAGATCATTTAACACATTTTGGTTTAAAATGCCGTATTTGTGAAACCATTATTTAATATATTCTTAACTTGCAACAAAATAACAGTTTGAAGCTGTTTTTAAACCTAACAATAGTTAAAGAAAAGGATCAGCACACGTGTGAATTGGCTATCCACCAAATAACATATTTATGTTTCCACCATGGAAACAATACTACAAAATCCACTGGATGAATTCTATTTTTAACTTGATGTAAATATTAAAAACCTCATTTAACAGCACTACACAAATGTTTAGTGGGGTTTTTTGGCATTGAAATCAAAGCAATGCTACCAGTACATTTGATACTGGCAATTTTCACAAAAGTTCAGAGGCAAAGAGAAAGACTTGAGAATGGTTAGTTGGGAAGGAAATGAAACAACCTACCAGTCCTCAATTTTAGAATTACTCCTCAAAAATGGCATACTTGATCAACATCCACTTGTCATTGTTAATGAGCATTTAGACAAGACTCATACTTGTATGCTTTTTTAATGTTCAGAACCTTCTAAACTTTAAAGTTAACCACAGGCTAGTCCATCTCCTACTGAGAAACTGAAAATGCTCTTAGGAAGTTCTGCTAAGTCCAGTTACAAAAGCTCTAAAACAGGGGGGAAAAAAAACCAGAAAAAAACCCAGAAACACTATACCACACAAATAATTCTGTGTTAGCAACTATTTCTCTTGCCTTTGAAATATGTACTATAGTGAGCATCTTGGGAGAAGAGGGGTACAGAGTAAGAAAAGTTTTAAGCAAAGGAAAGTTTGTAGAATTTTCATATTGGCATCAATGATTTCTTTTAACTCTCCTGAGTTAAAGCATGGTAAGATATGAGTTATTAATATGCTCTTGAGTATGTTTCCCAAATAAGCAGAAAATTTTTTAAAATTCCTTTTAAAAAGACATCCTTGAAGCATAAATATTAATAAATAATATCAACACATACACCTTTACATGGATGGATTTGTTTAATTTGTGGATGGTGCTTACAGGTTTCAGGGGGGGTTACATCTCCCATTATTCTTTAATACTGATACAGCATGGAAGCTCTCCAGCTACCAGTTTGTCAGCAACTATTATTATCTAAACCTAAGATATCCATTATAAAGCAGAATCCACAGTTCAAAATACCAGACAGTGAAAGATCTTATTTAATTCTCCCAGTACCAAGAAGCTTTTTAGGCTTTTTCCTCCCTAAATGATGATCATTTTAATGTAGTATTTAGCTAGTAGGAAGCACTAAAATTAATGCTTGAAACTTGTGTCACTGTTTTTTAATCCCTGCAGTCACACAGAAATAGAAAATTGCATCCAATAAGGAAATGATGCTGTGTAAAGTCCCTTTTTGTATACACAAAGGACTACAATGACAGTAGAAGTGTGCATCAGGAGTACCACTTGGAGCAGAGCAAGTGCGTTGTTAATTAATGAAACTATCACCATGAAGTATGAGGTACCAAACACAATTACACACCCTAGTAAAGGTGATATTCTGTGATTACTAGTTCTTTAGAAACAAAGTTTAAAAACATAAAAAAAGAACCTGAATGAATAAAATAAGTTGGCTTTGCAATTCACTCGTACAAAGCCGGTAACACTAAACAGGAAGGTTCTTTAATCCTTATCTCTTCTCCAGTAAACACACAGTCCAAAGTTCAGTGAAGACAAACATGCGAACCTGGCAAGAGTCATTTTACAGTGAAGTAGGCATTTTCACCCACTCTTTTTTTTTTTCAAATACCCGATTTCTCTGAGATCTTGTCACTGAATTGCAGCTTGTGAAGAAGTATTTTTCTCCACAACACGTGCCTTGAGTATGAAGTCTTCCCATACAAAAGGAGTAACTAATCCTACTCTTCCTACTGTAAAAGACAGTTCTTAGATTCCTCAGTTACTACTCTAAAGTCTTGAATAGGTTGCCAAAAAAAAAAAGTGTCTCATAAAGGATAACTATTTTAACAACATTTTAAGCATCAGAATTAAGTTAGCAATAATTGGTATCTTAGGAAAAAATAAATTTACAAGCTACTTTTTAATTTAGATCCCATCACTTGTAAGAGGCACCATATGTATCACTAAGAAAAAAACACAGGCAATTAAACTATGATATAATGTTTCCATATCATGTATAATAGAACATTAATATTTATTGAAACAGAGTTTCTCACCACATCAGTCTTGTGCATACATAGTGTTACAAAATAAACTGGTTAAGTTGTAACTCTAACTTCCTGTCCTGAGGCCCAACTCTTCTGAGTCACTTCTTAAATCAGGCATTGACACCTGCATTCCTCCTCACAAGAGCACCCCTGGCATCATCAGGAGCACCAGCTATGCACCATTTCTTGAAGGAGTGCTCTACCACTGTCTTCTGCTTGTCAGAAGGAACCTTTGGACAAAACAGTGTTTTGACACCTGAATGAGTCCTGCTTAACGCATGGATTGATCACACCAGCATCTCACTGCTTTGAACTGTTTCATCTGTTTCAAGGGTTTTGGCAATTTCTCCCACCTTCAACTGCATCACTTAGCGCGTGACAGGCAATCCTTTTGCATGTGTCTCAGTGACAAAATGTAGTACAGCTTTATCTACTTGAGGATATCTTCCCTTCTTAGGGCCTGTTAAAAGCATTTTGTTGCTTTTCAATAAAATATGGAATTGCAGTCATTCCTCCAACAACAGATATTTGTTCCGCTGCTCTGTTTCCATGCTTTTTTGCATACACAATAACTTTTCATTTCAGTGCTGAATCAAAGCGTAATCTTTAGAAGACATTTTAAAATGCCATTTAAATCGGACACATTTGATACCAACAATAGAGTGATGATGCTATGACAAGCTGTAAGTTCACACACGCACAAGATAATTACATCAACTATTGCCTGGTTGACAGTAATGGTGAGTTGCGTCCCAATTTCAGACAAGTGTGTGTGTGGGAGAAACTACATTATAGAACTAATAAAATATAGTTTTCAAACCAGCAATGTTTAACAGGTTCAGACAAGTGCAAAAAAAAGCACACCAAAAAAACCCAACAATAAACCCAAGAGCCATTGTATATAAGTAAAAGCTAGTAAAGCAAAAGATAATCTTTAAGATGAAATTTGCAACAGTCCAATTTGGTTTTAATTCCCTTTATTTTCATATGGCTTACATGTAAATCTCTTCTTTTTTAATTGGACTTGCAATCCAAGCACAAATGTTCTTCAGTATTTTAGCAATTGCAAAGCTAAGTCATTAAAGACAGAGGCTCCATCATTCACTAAGACGGAATGATGGTTGGGGTCAGTGGCCTTCATCAGCAGGTGCCCTCCTTTGGCGAGCAGATCTGATCCTGTGTGAAGACAATGAAGCATCCTCTTCTGTTTCAGATCCTGAAGGCTCATGATCTCCCTCCTGGGATCCTGTGTCTCCCACCAGTTCCCGCAGAAACTTGAATTTCGATAAAAAAAGGTGCCATACAAAATACCAACCTAAAGAGAGACAAAAAACATTAAGAATAATTATTACACACAATGTTATCAATTGACAACACTCCAGTTAATTTCTGAGGGTATATTATTATACAATATGTATAATATAAATAAATATATGTGATTACAAATATATATTTATATAATAAATACTTACTAAGCATTTACTATGGACAAGGCATAAGGATGAACTCTAGGTTTATAAAGGGATGGAAAAAACAGTTTCTGCTTTTACAGTGTTTAGAATCCAAGTTTGGTGCATCTATAGTAAAATTACAATGAACTTATGATACTGAAGTAAAATTATTTATTATATGTATCAAAATCAATTTTTTTAAAAGAGAGGGGAAGGGAAGGAGAACAAGAGGAAAAGAAACATCAATGGGTTGCTTCTCGTATGCATACTGACCAGGGAAAGGAACCTGCAACCTAGGCACAGGCCTTGACCAGGAATCGAACTAGCTATCTTTCACTTTGCGGGACAACACCCAACCAACTGAGCCATGCTGGTCAAGGCTAACATCAAAATTTTGAGAGCAGCTTTCTTGAGAAGAAAGAATCCCTTTGCTATTTACTTGGAAATTCATATATCAATGCTAATAATTACTAAAAGCAAGTTTTCTTCAATAAGAATACAAGAGACATTAAATGACATCAACTGCTCTATGGTGAAAACTTCTTTAGGACCAAGCTACTTATAAGTTTCTCGAAAACACAAATTTTCACAGAAAATTAATATATTTCCTTTAATTACATAATGAAAGAATAGAGCCAGGGCACTAGTACCTAAAGTTCATGATACTAAAAATACAGCATTTTCATGTCAACATTATCAAAAAGTCTGAATAACTCCTTAAAAAAATTACTAATCAAATATTTCTTATTTTTGCAGAAGTTTACTAAGTTTTAGAAGCCTGCAAATAAGAGAAAACATGAAAGGAGTGCACTGGCTAAAACCTGAACTGGCTGCCCTAATGTTAAGGGCACAAACTAAATAAAATTAACTATTGTAACAAATTTTTCACATTAGCATGCTTTCTTTAAACACTCTAGTTTCATAGAAAAGCAAGAGACCGTAACATAGAAGATTCTGATAGGTAGCATTTTATAAAAATGAGATCCAAACAACTTTTCTAACTCCAGCATTATAACAGGCCAAGATGAATGGTCAACTTTAAGGAAGTTTCCACAGTCTCTGAAAAAAAAAGGATCAACATAAATTCCTTGGTACTAAAGGACTAACTTCAGAGATTTAACCCATATTTCAAGTTCTTATATTCCTCTTTTATTACTTTAAATTTTCATACTAACTGAACCATACCACAAATATATGTATTTTGGCCAACTATGTGTTTAGGTTAAGTCACCTAACTTTGTAAAATATTAAGTATTTTAATGATATTCCAAACTAGTGAGCTCTCTCTTCACCCAAAATTTTTTGTAAAAATAGGCACAGCATTAGTGAAAAGAACACCAGAAGTCAGGAGTCCCAGTCCTGACAGCAAATTTAAACAACTATTGTGAGGAAAAACTGAGATGGTATCGAAAGGGCTTAAGGTGCCTGGCATTTTGTAAATGTCCAGCTGACATGAGCTTTGGTTATACCCTGGGCAGTGGGATCTATTTTGTTGTTGTTTACTTAACTTATTAAAAAAAATAATTGAGATACAACTCACATACCATAAAATATGCCCTTTTAAAGTGTGTGATTCAGTGGCTTTTAGTATATTTGCAAGGTTGTGCAACCATCACCATTTTCTAACTCCATTAGCAATTATTCCCTATTTCCTCCTTCCCCTAGCCCCTGGCAACCACTAATCTACTTTTCTATCTCTATGACTTTGCCTATTGTGAGCAACACACACACACAAGCATACCTTATTTTATTGTGCTTTGCAGGTATTACATTTTTTACAAATTAAAGGTGTGTGGCAACCCTGCACCAAGCAAGCCTACTGGTACCATTTTCCAATAGTATTTGCTCACTTCGTGTCTCTGTGTCACATTTTGATAATTCTTGCAATACTTTAGAGCAACGCTTATTATGGTGATCTGTGATTAGTGATCTTAGATGTTATTACTATAATTGTTCTGGGGAGTCACGAACCATGCCCATATAAGATGGCAAATTTAATCGATAAATGTCTTGTGTGTTCTCACTGCTCCACCAATCAGCTGATTCCCCATCTCCCTTTTCTCAGGCCTCCCTATTACCTGAGACACAATAATACTTAAATTAGGCATGTTAATAATCCTACAATAGACTCTAAGTATTTAAGGGCGAGGAAGAGTTGCACATCTCTTTTTTTTTTAATTTATTGATTTTAGTGGGGGGGGGCACACATCAATTTGATGTTCCACTTATTTATGCATTCATTGATTGACTCTAGAATGTGCCCCTGACTGGGGATCAAACCCACAACCTTGGCATATAAGATGGCACTCTAACCAGCTGAGCTAACCCAACCAGTGCCACATCTCTCACTTTAAATCAGAAGCTAAAAATGATTAAGCTTAGTGAGGAAGGCAAGGTAGAAGTCAACACAGGTCAAAAGCTATGCCTCTTGTGCCAGTTAGCCAAGTTGTAAATGCAAAGAAATAGTTCTTGAAGGAAAGTAAAAGTGCTACGCCAGTGAACACATGCATAAGAAACCTTAATAGCCTTATTGCTGATATGGAGAATGTTTCAGTGGTCTGGAAGGAAGATCAAACCAGACACATTCTCTTAAGACGAAGCCTATATCCAGACAAAGCCCTAACTTCAATTCTATGAAGACTGAGAGGTAAGCTGCAGAAGAAAAGCAGAAACTAGCAGAGGTTGGTTCATGAGGTTTAAGGAGAGAAGCTTTCTCCACAACATAAAAGTGCAAGATGAAGCAGCAAGCGCTGATAGAGAAGCTGTCGTAAGTTATACAGAAGATCGAGCTAAGATAAATAATGAAGGTGACTACACTAAACAACAGATTTTCAATGCAGACAAAAGAGCCTTATATTGGAAAAAGATGCCATCTGGGACTTTTGGAGCTAAAGAGAAGTCAATGCCCGGCTTCAAAGCTTCAAAGGACATGCTGATTCTCTTGTTAGGGGCTAATGCAACTGGTGACTTCAAGTTGAAGCCAATGCTCATTTAGGATTCCAAAAATTCTAGGGCCTTTAACAATTATGCTAAATCTTACTCTGCCTGTGCTCTATAAATGAACAACAAAGCCTGAAGGATACACATCTGTTTACAACATGGTTTACTAAATATTTCAAGCCCACTGTTGAGACCTACTTCTCAGGAAAAAAAGATTCCTTTTAAAATATTGCTCATTGACAATGCACCAGTCATCCAAGAACTCTGCGGAGATATACAAGATTAATGTTGTTTTGCCTGCTAACATTAACATCCATTCTGCAGCCCCATGGGTCAAGGAGCAATTTTGACTTTCAAATCTTACTAGTTAACAAATAGAGTTCGTAAGGCTCTAGCTGCCATGGATGGAGATTCCTCTGATGGATCTGGGCAAAGTAAATTGAAAACCTTCTGGAAAGGATTTGCCATTCTAGGTGCCATTAAAAACATTTGTGATTCACAGGAAGAGGGCAAAATATCAACAGGAGTTTGGAAGAAGTTGATTTCAACCCTCATGGGTGACTTTGAGGGGTTCAAAACTTGGGTGGAGGAAGTAACTGCAGATGTGGTGGAAATAACAAGACAACTAGAATTAGGAGCAGAACTTGAAGATGTGACTGAATTGTTGCAATCTCATGGTAAAAGTTTAACGGATAAGGAGTTGCTTCTTACGGATGAGCAAAGAAAGCAGTTTCTTGAGATGAAACCTGTTCCCATTGAAGATGCTGTGAAGACTGTTGAAAAGACAATGAAGGATTTAGAATATTACATGAACTCCGCTGATAAAGCAGCAGCAGGTTTGAGAGGACTGACTTCCATTTTGAAAGACGTTCTACTGTGGGTAAAAAGCTATCAAACAGCATCACATGCTACAAAGAAATTGTACCGGACAAGGAGTCAATTGATGTGACAAACTTTATTGTTATCCTAAGAAACTGCCCCAGCTGTGGCCATGTGGCTCATCTGGTGGGAGTGTCATTCCGTCCACTGCAAGGCTGCAATTGGATTCCCAGTCAGGGCACATACCTAGTTTGCAGGTTCAATACCCAGTCAGGGAGCATATGGGAGGCAACCAACTGATGTTTCGCTCAATCAATCAATCAATCAATCGATCAATCAGTCTCTCTCAGAAACATGTCCTTGGGTGAGGATTTAAAAAAAAAAGAAAAGAACAAAATTGCCACAACCACCCCAACTTGCCATAACCTTTACCCTATCAGTCTGCAGCCTCAGAAGATGATGGTTAGCATTTCTTAGCAATGAAGTATTTTTCAATTAAGGTATATACATTGTTTTATTAGACATAATGCTATTGGACATATAATAGACTAAACTATAAACATAACTTTTACATGTATTGGAAAATCAAAAAATTCGTGTCACTTGCTTTAATGCAATGTTCACTTTAATGCCGTGGTATGAAACCAAACCTGCGGCATCTGATGTGTGCCTGTAAAGGAAATCACAATATATAGTATTTTATGTCTGGCTTCTTTCACTTAGTATATATCTTCAAGGTTCTTTATCCATGTTGTTGCATGTATTGCCTCATTCCTTTTTATTGCTGAATGATATTCCATTGTATGGACAAATCACATTTTGTTTAAATATTCATCAATTAATGAACATTTGGCTAGTCTCTACTTGATGGCTACAATAAAAAAAAATTTCCACTTTTTTGGCTGCAATGACCATTTGTGTACAGGTTCTTACATGGACATGTTTTCATTTCTTTTGGATATATATTTATGAGGACAATTGTTGGGTCATATGGTAACTTTATGCTTAACCATTTGTGAAACTGCCATTTTTGAAGGCAGCTGCACCATTTTATATTCCTACCAGCAAAAAAAAAAAAGAAAAAAAGAAAAAAAGAAAAAAATTC